TCAAGCACAAAAAAATTGTCCGGCCAGAGCAAAAGCACCACATACGTCACGCTTACGTCGAGGCGGGGGCAGAGACAGATCAACTCCTGAACAACAACAAAAAGCCCGCGTTTTATCCAGTTTGTACAACGATGGAGAAACTTAACAAGAGTTTCAGAGTTTCAGTGTTTCTGCCATAGACTGTATATATAAAGGTTTCTGCTCATGGTGAAGCAACGTGTCTGCGTGTTAAGGTGAAACCTGAGCATTCACGTTGATCACCTCTCATTATAACTCATTATAAATCTATAAAACTATAAATATTCAACTTTACTTCACGTGTTCATTTGAGAACAGCTGTTACATACCTGGGTGAAGGTTACAGTTCATTTAAATGAAAGATACAACGTTACTCCACACTCATGGTTCAGTCCACCTTAAGAAATAAGACCGACCTCGGAAGCAGTTGTGTTTTAAAAAAAACCTTTATTGACACGAGTACACTTTTTCATAAGAATATAACTAAACCACAGAAATGACTACAGAAAAGCTGCAGATAGAGCCATGAGAAATGAATGCAACTGATTTCATCCGGCGGTTTGGCTTTATGAAGCAGACACGCAAACGGTTACGTCATGACGCAAACGATGACGCAATGACGCATTACCAGTCGGACTCTGGGCGGTGTGAAAAGAGCCAGAGCTAAACCGAAGAACTGGTTCTGAACCTGAAAAGCTCTAGCACGGAGCTTGAACCGGAGTTGCGTTGGTGTGAATGAGGTATAAGAGAGCAGGGACTTTCATGGGAGAAAAAGGTTCCTGTGTCTGATTGGCTGGGCGGATTGCAAACCACGCCCCGTAAAACTCCCAAAACGTTTTGTGAAGCCGCCATTTTTATTATCCCGCATTAGCATTATTAGCATTAGCATTAGCCCAGCGCAGAAACGCAGAGAGACTAACTTATGGCAACACAAAATAAAACATGGGAGCGGTGGAGATGAGCTAGTCCCCAACTCCGGGGACTTCCGGCCGGGGACTTTGGGTGGCAGTATACGCCGTGAAGTGGTTTGCGGCCTGCCAGTAAACCCAAAGCAGAAGAAGAAGAAGTGACGTCAGCGGCTTCATTTGCCTAATCCTCCCCCAGGGACTTATTCCGGTGTGAACGCGATCTGTACTTAGTTCATGAGAACTAAAGAGTTCTCATGAACTAAGTTCTCATGAACCTTTATGGGAAAAGTACTGCGGTGTGAATGCGCCTAGGCAAGGCAAGGCAAGGCAAGTTTATTTATATAGCACTTTTCAACACAAGGCAATTCAAAGTGCTTTACAAAAAATGAAAGAGATTAAGAAAATGGCATTTAAAATCAGTCAATTAAACATTAAAAGAAAAAAAAGCCAGTGTAAAGACTTCAGAACTGGAGTGATGTGATCCACTTTCTTAGTGTTAGTGAGGACTCGAGCAGCAGCGTTCTGAATTAGCTGCAGCTTCCTAATAGATTTTTTAGTGAGACCTGTGAAGACACCATTGCAGTAGTCGAGTCTACTGAAGATAAAAGCATGGACAAGTTTTTCCAAATCCTGCTGTGACATTAGTCTTTTAATCCTAGATATATTCTTTAGGTGATAGTAGGCTGATTTAGTAACAGTTTTAATGTGACTGTTGAAACTCAGGTCAGAGTCCATGACTACACCTAGATAGCCTAATGGTGACACAGGTAGACAGAGGTGCGAGAAGTACTCAGATCGTGTACTTGAGAAAAAGTAGAAGTACCAGCGTTACAAGTAAAAGTCCTGCATTCAAAATGTTACTCAAGTAAAAGTACAAAAGTATTGAGTACCAAAAAGTAGAATCCCTCATTCTGCAGATTGGTTCATTTCAGAATAATATATATCCATCTTCTATAATATATTATTATATATGTATATGTGAATACATACATATATTTATATGTATATATATTTAGACCATTGACTCATTGAAATTACTTTGTCTTGTGGTTTTTGAGAGAGCATTGTTAACAGATTTATTTCCCCTTTCCTGAACCGCCAACTGTAACCCTTATGACTGTAGATGAGTAACGTTTACAACCTTACCTAACTTTGACTCTCCTTATTCATCAAATCATTCTAATTGTTCCAGGCGATATCTGAGATGGTGACGGAGGAGAACCTGGCTGAGGGGAGGCTGTACCCTCCTCTGAGCACCATCAGAGAGGTGTCCTTCAAGATCGCAGTGAAGGTCAGTGACTCCTGCACTATTACATTTTGAAGTTTTGAGGGGTATTAAATAAATCTAATCCCTTTCCTTTTTTGCCAGATTGTCAACTATGCATACAAAAACAACATGGCTTCTCTGTACCCTGAGCCAATAGACAAGGAGGCGTTTGTCCTGTCTCACATCTACAGCCCAGATTACGACTCCTTCACTCTGGACAAATACAGCTGGCCGGAGGAGGCCATGAACGTCCAGGACGTGTGATTTCTGTCTGTCTCTATCCTTAAATCAATATGCTACGACCGCGTATCAGGGCCATCGCAGGTGAAGACAAATTAAAACTACACAAAAGTGAAGGCACTTAATTAAAAAGGAAAAACCCCACTATTTTTCAAGGTTTTTTTTCTCTCGTAAATGTGTGGCTTTATGATTTCTGAACTTCGATTTATAGTTTTATGATTTCAGAGAACATTACAATATTTTTCCTGTGAGTTTTTCTCGTACATTTACAAGTTTTATCTTTATTTTGAATTGTTTCTACCTTAAATGGCCCTGATACTCCGTCCTACTATGCTGCCGTGGTGTAAAGTACAAGTTATGCATCGCCTCTACCCAGAAACTTCTCCAATTATTCTCTAATATGTTAGTGCCCTCCTTGCAGACGTACAGTGATCCATATAATAGATGCCAAACTGTTATTCTCTATGACCTTTTATGTGTTATATTGTCAAGTACAAGTTTCTATTTCCTCTTTCAGTGCTTTAATTGTTGTCTTTTCAGTTCTCTGTACCAGTTTGAAGGATTGAATGAGTGAAATACTCTAAGCTGCATACACACCCAGTATATCAAATGTCATTAGCTATAACTACATCTATACACATTAGATTATCAAGCTGTTCACGCAACGCTAAATTAATTTTGACAGCTAATGCAGGAAATCAGAGAGCAGATTCTCACAGCAACGCACAATGCTTCCTCTTGTCTTGACACAAATCTACAGAAGACTCATTTTGTAACTTGAAACATTGAACAAACTCTGTGCCTCGTCCTGTGTGACCTCAGGACATCACTGCTCCATGTTCTGACTATAATTGTTCAGTGGTTCACAAAGAGGACAAATGTGGCTCGACACTGTAGCCACTTCTCCAATTGTACACTCCCATCTGTTCACGAGACTAAAACACTCCACAGTCAGCCTGTCATTCTGTTTCCCCGCGAGAGTCCGTTCTTCTGGATGGAAAGCACTTTTGTTCTCTTGAATGTGTTCAGAAAAAGCACCTTCAGGATGTTTTTTGTATACAATGGTGTGTTATTCCTCTAGTTTTGTACAGAGCCTTATGCTTGTTGTGGTGTTTTTGCCAAAAGTTATCGATGAACTGTATATTTTACAGTGTCTTTAACTCCTAGCCAACATGATGCTCTGCCAGCTTTAGTACCGGCAGATATGCTTGAAGTTTTTAAAGGGAACATGAAACTTTTTGAATAAAATGGTCAACTAAATGTGAGAGTCATGGCTTTTTTTCCTCTCTCTTTGAGACAAGATTACTGCATGAAAGACTTGAGTGCATAGGTATCCAAACTACGACATTTTGAGTCGGCCCTCAGCAAATTCAAAAAGTATAATGTAATACGGCCCACAAATTAAACTTGAGCTTTTCTTGTATTGTACTTATTAAATATATCAAACATATATTACACAGTAGTGATCATGTGTTCATAAGCCCAATTTACAATACATTTAGTCAATTACATTTGACTGAATTACAATTAGAGTCGATAAGAAAAAAGTCCAATAACTTCTATGCATAACACACTTGAAATATACCCTTCCTATTTCCTCTTATAATAATCTATCTGGAGCTCCTGTTGTAAGGGATGAGTGGCTATCAAATTAAATTAAACTCTCCGGAGAGCTGGGATGTAGACTGTTTATTTTTCTTAAAGCAGATTCAAGTAACAAGCATTATTTACCTAGTTTTGATTGATTTAGCTAACTTATAACAAAGGTCCCATGACATGGCCATTTCTACTGATCATAATTCCATTGTTGAGGTCTACTAAAATAGATTTACATTGTTCAATGTTCCAAAGTGACATTGGTTTCTCATACAGCATCTCTGTATAGTATCCTATGTGTATTCACTCTCTGTCCTAAACGGCTTGTTGGAGCTCCTGCCCCCCCACTGTGCTCTGATTGGTCAGCTCGCCCACTCTGTTCTGATGAGTCCACCACTGTTACAGCGGAACATCAGTGATTATGTGTTACAATGGCGTTTGTTAGCAACCAGAAAAATGACACCAGTAATGACTAACAGATGAGAATGCTGCGTGGGGTCTGGGTGCCGTGTTGGCGGGACGTTGCGCGGCTCGCTGCTGTGAGGAGCTGCGTGGGACCGTCTGCGAGACATCGCGAATGGACGCGGGAAGGGGGGTGCTGAGGGGGCTGCAGCACTCCCATCTGCGAGGCTCCACTAGCAAACTGCACATCTCTGGTGGTGGACCCATACACCGTTTTCAGTCTCAGTCTTTCAGTTGTTTGCTAAGTTTTGTTTATCCTGTATTCAGCCTCTCTGTCCTGCATGTTATTCCAACAGGAAGCAGCAATAAGGACTGATGTATTGGGGATTTAACCATTGCCAGCAAGTTGTATAATAGTTTTTCTTTAGTTTTCTTTTCAGTTTGTCCGAGACCCAAACACATCTGAAAGCTATTTGCACTAATTTTTCATTTGTTCTGTCGACGTCTTTTTTAACATTTAAGCCGTCATGGGTGGGGTTGGTTTTAATCCACTTCTTTATAGTCCTCTTATTTCTTTAAAATGCTTGGAATGAAATTACTGAAAAACATTTTGAAGCCCAGATTGTTTCCTCTTTGGTGCATAAACAAGTGAACATTTCAAATAATTCCCTATAGGAGAGCCCTTTAACTTACAGCAGAAAGCATTTGAATTATAAGTCCTTTGGAATGAGCATCTGCAGTAAATTGTGTCTATTTAAAAAACATGTGTGAATGAAACTGTTAATGCTGTTCCTATTTATTGCTGTGTCCGTGTTTTAATGATGCCCTCTTTGCCACATCTCTCACACACACACACAAAATTAAACAAAAAACCAGAGCTACTAATGCTGCCGTGTTAACAGTTTAGTTTATTGAAATGTACCAAAGGTTTTAAGATCAGGAAAATGCAAGATACCAGATGCATCACCATGTCATGATCCTGATTTATCGTGACAATTATCATACCCACATTTTATCGATATGTTATTTACCTTAATCTCGAAGCTTCTTCAATCTAATCTCCAGTTTGAGAAAGCGAATGACAAAACAGAGTCATGAGCTGCTCGTCTTAAGAGTTATTAAAGCAAACATTTGACAGTGATGATGCTGTTCTTATTAAAATGAGTTTTGACAAAGTCTGTTAAAAGTCGGCGTCTGATCGTCGTCAGAGACAAGCAGGATTAGACAGGCACATATTTCTCTTTGTATCACACAGACCTGATAACCACCTCTCCTTCAAACTTCGCTGTCTTACGATAAACATGGGACGGCATAAAGGATAACCGTTAACGTAGAAAGTAACATTAGCAATAGGAACTGACACAATGTGGATGGACTCCAAAGATACACAAATAAAGCCAGACCTTCAAAGTGACGTTTGAGCATATAAAAGCAGAAAGTAAATCCCAAAAGTAAATTGTGGAAAATGATGGTCAACCAGAGTTTCAGGTTGCCTTTAAATAACAAGTTTTAAAATAAATTTGTAAAGAAATGTGGATAAAAGTAATATAAATGCAGTCAGTATTTAACTTTGGTCTGATAAAGAAGTTCCATTGATGATATGTACTGTAAACACCTAAATTAACATTAACTATAAAATAAATCCAACACATTTATAGATGATAATTAACAAAGGAGTATTTTGCAGAACAGATAATCAGAGAAAGCAGTGTTTCATTTTAAATAGCCTGACCTAATTAAGTGTATTCAACATCCGAACATAATATAATTTTAACACCGAACAGCCTGAGGAAAATCTCGAGATGAAAACTCACTGAGTCTTCAGCTTTGGCACAACTAACGAACAAAGATATGCATAAATATAAAGTTTAAACTGCAACCTTGAAAGCATACCAACCACAAATATGGACAACGTAAAGTCTCGATGATTTCCATTTCATTCTCTTTGGCGAAACCATGTCGGTAAGCAGTATTTCCAGGTGGGTTTTTAAAACTTGCCTGTGTGACGTAAGTATTTTAACTTTAATTGTATGGTATGTATTCATCTTTATTTAGTTTGGAGAGTTACAGTTTACTCGCAGTGGAAGCTCAGACCAGAAAAGAATGAACACAAGAGAGTTGGAGAGCTAGTCTTTTTACATGAGCTGCGTCCTATTCTTTTTGGCAATCCAAGCTGATGGGAAACGCTTGACTAACTTTGTGCATCTTGTACATTTACCCAGGAATATGCCACACCCTGTTTGTAATGCAAAGACTTTCACGCGTGAACCATTAGACCCACTCATTGTAGGGTTACCTCATTTGGAAAATCACTTAAAATACATTCAGTTGAAGGTAAATCTTTGTGATTATTACTTTAAAAATGCATACACACACACACACACACACACACACACACACACACACACACACACAACACTTTGGTACCAAAAGCAGATGGAAAGTAACAATCACTGCGCCAAAGGCTTTGGCATTTTCAGAACAAAATTAGTTTAAAAACAAACCAAAACAGAGAACAGTACTTTGAATCAGGCAAATCTCTCATTAAAGATCGTATTTAAAGGGTGTGTACCTTCGGAAAAAACATCACATAATGAACTCCTCAACAACAAGATCCAGTATCGTCATCCTCTCCTATGTAAGTTGTCTCTTTGTCTTATCTGGACAAACGTACGACAAAAGCGTGTCTATCATGTTCTTGACGATGACCGGCGGAGGATGCAGGGCGTGAGGAAGGTGGTGAGCTAAACTCATCTCCCAGGCGTCCACTAGCAGCACGTTCAGCCCCTTGAACATGGACCTGAGCACCTCGTCCAGCTGCAGGGAGTACCAGTCGCTGTTGTACAGGCTCACCTCCGGGTCCAGGGCCTGGAGGTTCCCCGAGCGAATCACAACCATCGTCCCCGGCGCCCGGTCCAGAAGTCTCACCAGCGACCGCCTGACGTGACGCAGCCGCCGTATGTACACCTCCACAGGAAAGGTGCTGAAATGGGCCCAAATACTGAGGACCACCACAGTGTTTGGCCCCCCGGAGAGGCCGTCCAGCTCGTTTGAAACGTACCGCAGTTCACTGGCCATGACGGTGGAGAAGCGGATGGGCGGGCCATGGCAACGGTACTTCAACAGGATATTATGGGTGCTGTCCACCGCCATGAAAGGCCCCACGTTCATAGGACTGTTCAAATTGAACTCCCTCAACCCTGGGGAAGGGGAACAGATGGAAGTTGCAGTGGGAATATACAAGTTAGTGTGAGAATGAGGGAAAAAGAGAACTCACCTGGTACTAAAGTGATGAGGTACTCGAACCACTGTCTGACGGTAGAGTCTCCGTACATGTTGATCACCTTGTTCTTCAAACACTGAGTGACAGCGGATGATTCGTTGAACTGGCGCATTGTAATGCCACTTAATGGCCTCCATGAGTCCTCGTAGTAATATCCAGACGGGGCTAGCTTAATTGGCTCTGGTTTTACACTGCTGCTTTCTACCTCTACCTCTGATGCAAAGCGAGAAATGTGGCAAACAAAATTAAATTAATGGAATAAATCAAAGCAAAGGACATGAGGCACACACTCTGCAGGGATACTGTACCTTTCCTGGGGGGCAGAACGTCGATTCCGTCGGGTCCTGAAGCGTGTATGGGAACTTTAATGTTTACACCACTATGACAAAAGACAAAGAATGAATGAGGTAAAGGTTAAGACTTAAGATTTTCATTGCCATAACTACCGCATATGACAATAAAGGCTTTGAACCTCTGAAGTCTGGTGTTATTCAATCTTTAACTTCCGTTAAACTGGTTTTAATTGTTGAGGACAGTTGAGTCCTTTCTTTGTCAGAGTGCTTTCCACATTTCTGTGTCCTTGACTTTAGTTGCTTTTTTATCGTTTTTAGAGCCCAACATGTTTTAACGAATCAACTCCTTACACTATTGACATTACAGATTCCTCTCATCCATTCGTTGGACTTATTTTGACTTTGTTTTTGGATTATAATTCACTTATTTCTTAAGAATACTATATACTATGTGGCTATAGATATATATATATATATATATATATATTATGCTTTGAACACTAACTCTTGTAAGAAAAATGAATATATTTATTGTTTTGGTCTGGAGAATAATGCCTTACTACATCTCAAATATATATCATATTACGATTAGTTTCCTCCGCATTACAAACCTCTGGAAGAGCAGTGCTTCCTTGTTGGTGATGAGGTGTTTCTGGTAGCCTGCTTTGGCGTGGTTGATTCTGCTGTCACAGCTGAGCATCTTAGGCTTGTAGCAGTACCAGGGCTCGCCTGTGTAGAGGTCAGTGTAGTTGCACAGAGGCTGCTCAAGGGGCAGGCACATGTTGCAGACTGTTGTTTCAGACAGGAAGCCCAGGCGGAACAGGCTCTTAAAAAACACCCGATCAGGCCGTTCCTCCCTCAGCCTTCGCAGCACAGCCACCGCTTCACTCGGGTGCACCAGTGTGATCTCAATCTGTGCAGAACCCACCCAGAGAAGCGGGAACATAGCAGAATAAAATCCGTTCTTGTGGTCCAGCACTTTACCCGCTACGCCTGCTCCCAGCTCTGGGGAGTGCAGTCTGGCCAAAATGAAATCCCCTCCGTAGCGCTTTGGACGACCCTGGAAGTCGTGCATCTGGACAAGCGCCTCCAGCTGGTCGCCCACATGCCACTCCCTCCCTCCCTGAGTGGGGAGGACGGCGAACAGGCTGTGCACGGGGTCGCTCGTCTGGCGCAGGGCGCGGGGTGAGGAGCGAGGCGGGGGTCCAGGCCAGGTGATGGAGTCCAACAGGTAACGTTCCTCCAGTTCATCTTCAGGCGTTGGTTTCTGGCCCAGATGTGCACAGAAGGAGCGGTTGTGATGAAAGGTGGGCAGATTCACGGGGAGGAAGGACGACTGGATCCTGCTCTGGAGCTGGTAGAGGGCTGAGATAGTGTGGCAGTTCCAGTTCTGTAGAGAAAGGAAGGAGAGTTAAGACATGTGACCATCGGCCTATCATAAAAATCCATAAAAGGAATAAATACTTTTTACAAAAGCTTTCTCAGTAAAAGTCGAGTCGAGTCAAGTTTCTTTATATAGCATGTTCATAAATACCGGAGTTGGCCAAAGTGCTGTGCAAGTTTAAGTGAACTGCACAAAAATAGGAAGTTAATGTGCAACATAAAACAACATTAAATGGTTTTGGATTTACAAAGCAATATTATATAAGCACAAATCCAAAAGAAAACCAGAATAATACTTTAAATATAATTTTTTAAAACAAAGGGTTGTGTAACATTTAAAAAAGGACATAAAGTACTAAACATATATAAACGTGGGGATCTTAGAAACTAGAAGTGGAGAAATTATAGTCATCCTTAGTGTCAAAAGTTATATAAAACATAACATTTCCATTCAGTTTCTAAGGAATTGTCTGCACTTTAACTATCCGCATAAGCTAAAGCAATATCAAAATGAAATGAAGTAATAGTAGGGTGATTCAGTAAACCCATGTAGCAAACTTCTCTCCTGACCTCCACAGTGTGAATGTTGCGCAACAGGAAGATGAAGCCGGACAGGGCTAGAAAGAGGAAGATGAGCGCATATTTGGACACATTTCTGCACATGGTGACCTCCTTCTGTCTCCCATGATCAGGCCCGGTTTCACTCAGTCGTCACACCGGCGATGATGGCATCATAACATCCTCAGCGACTGATACTGGCAAACTCTGTAATCGAGAAGGGTGAACAAACAAAGTACTATGAGTATGAAGAAACATTTAAAAATCATATTGTCTTCACCTTAGGGCTGGGCGATTTGGCCTAAAAATAAAATCGCGATTTTTTTTCTAACTAATGGACAATTTTCGATTTAAACCTCGATTTTTTTCTGTTTTTTTCTAAACAAACCAGACCAAGGCAACATTTAAATACATATTTTCTTTATTAACACAATACAAATAAATGAGATTACCAAGTAGTCTAGGCCTATGTGAACAAATCAGTTGTTCAAGAATAAAAATAATAAAATAAAAACAGCACCACGGCACTTGGCTGTCATTAATGTGCAAAGATTTTTTTTAAATCAAACTGAAAAAAAAATGTCTTTTAGGCCATCCCTGAAAAAACTTGTAAAATGAAATACAACAAATAATAAATAATGATAATGAAATGAATAATAAAAAAATACCCTCAAACAAAATAACATCCCTTTAACTTTCTAGGAAGTTGTCTACAGGTTTTTCGCGAGGAAGACAAGCCTGTCTACTGCCTCTGGCTTGAGGCATGCTCTTTGGCATGTTACAATGTTACCCCCCGTACTGAAAACCCTCTCCGAAGGGTGGCAGGAATGGAGAGATATTTCTTGGCCAGATTACTCAGTCTTGGGAAGTTAGCTTCATATAGCTTCCACCACTGCAGTGGGTCTGTATCAGGGTCTGTCTCAGACGACAACAAATAGGATGACAGCTCAGCTTCAATTTTGTCCTGCTCTGACTGGGAGGTAGACGACACTGTCAGTTGTGATGTGTGGGTCGCGAACGAGCCGGCTCTTTTAAGTGAACGACGGGAGCCGGCTCTCGCCTGCGAACGAGCCGTGTTTTTGTTTTTTTTGCGGAGGGATCTAGATCGGCATGAAGGCACATTATGCAATGTGCACATTATCCCGCTTATTAAACATGGCCACATTCTCAACAAAGTAACGACATGACTCCTAATATTAATTGAAATGCTTTTATGGATTTAGAAAATGATTTTATTGACTTAAAAAATAGTTTTATGTATTGATTTAAATTGACATGCATCCGCTAAGAAAAGTAGTCCGTTGTTACTGTTTGAACTAACGTAGCAACGGCAGGAACTGCTTCGATAGTGTTTTTGAGGAGCTTTTTTATTACAGATTTGAAAACATCGTTGCTTGCTTTAAAAGTAGCACACTTCATGATGTCAGACCTTGGGAAGTATCTAGATATCCCTGCCCTAATGCCAAAGTAACTGCCAACTGAATATGTGTCGCCGTTTGATGTCTATGTCTGGACCGCTGCGTAAAAAGGAGGGTTTCTGCCCCATTACTTCTCTTCTTACTTCTATAAGAATAAAACACGGAGGACGGAGATCTCTTTTCCTCCCCCCTCTACAGACCGCCCAGCAGCTGATCTCAGAGCACGCTCCCCTCTCCTGCAGGGGGGCGTGGTCAGCTGCAGCTCACAGAATCAGCCCCCTGCAAAAACAGCGCTGGAAAGAGCAAATAGAGCGAAATGAGGCATGGCTAAAATGCAAGATATTTTTGGTATTTTGAAGAAAAAAAAAATGTATATACTTTATATAGGTCGATACAGTAGCCCCTTTTTTTTAAATAGTTTGTATAGGTGTTGCTATCTGTTTTGTGTAGCGTGGTTCTACAAGCAAGTCAATGCATTCATTGGGTGGTATCAGAGATTTACACGGGTGAAATGCAATGAAAACAATTGGCCACAGCAAATCATTTATATTAAACTTTATTTACTTTATTTACTCTTGAATACTTCAGTACAAAGGATGTATTGAATAATTTAAGTGATATATGTGTACACAGAGCTGCAGATCGGGTAGTCACAGGCAATGTGGCTGAGTTTTGTGCGCGTTCTGGAAAGTGAGAGAGTAAGCTACTACGGAGTCCCTTAAAGCAAAACAAATCTGCGGAGTCTAGAAATGTTTTTAAATCGCGATTTTTCGGTTCAGCCATTTCACAAACCGTAGGAAAGTAAAAATGCAAATTAATCGTTAAAACCGAAAAAATCGCCCAGCCCTACTTCACCTTTCCTTTATTTCTGCTTTGGGTTTATATTTGAACTTGCATTTTGTGAACTGATAATCAGTTGTATGCACAGTCAAATGTCCGTCTATAAAAAATGGTTTGGACCCATTGATGATGACGTTCCACAGTGATAACCTCTATGCATTTTCCTTCTTTACAGCTTTCCTTTTTAAATGAGTACGATAGGTCAGACTGCAACTAGCATGGCATGAACTAATATGAACAGATTCCTGATAAGAAATTGCTTTGAGCTACCAACGTGTTGCGGCAGGAAGGAACTTGATCCCCTGTTGCAATGAAAGGCTGCAATGTTCCTACTAGGGATGGGAATTTGAAAGCAAATGTATATTCGAATATTCGACCCCCAAAAAAACGGTTAACCGAAATGTATATATCCTATAAAAAAAAAAAAAATTGAAAAATACATCCAAGTCAAATTTGTCAAATGTATTGAACTGTTTTAAGTCCTGAGAAAGTCAAATAAGACGGTGTGTAAAACTACACTGCCCAGCCAAAAAAAAGTAACCACTTTGATTTAACTAGGCCAGTAGGTAAGGACTTTCCAATGGATAATAACTGCAGCGATGTTTTAGCTGAATACACGTTTTTTAACCCTAACTGATGCAGTTAGTCACTTCTTTAATGTTTGTTCTTTCTGATGTAAAGTCAAGGTTGTAACTGTTTGCAATGAAGTTGTGGGGTGCTGAACTGCTCTTTTGATTCTTTTGAATTGTGATATATGAGGGTGAGCAAGCATCTTGAGGAACATTCATCATTAACTCCTCCAAAAAATATAGTTTATTTAATAATAACACTGAATATGTGAATCATAACACTGATTGACAGCTGATAGGAATTATATAATTGTTAATATTATCATATTAATTCAGACAAACATCGATGAGACAGTTAATGAATGTACTTATTGCAGCAGTCTGCATAGATTTGGTACCTCTGCTGGTCTAAGAGTGAAACAAACTAATTCAGTTATTGTTCAGTTAAAATTCATTCAATGATGTCTGCCACCTTATATATCTCTATTTAAGGCTTTACTCATGTGCCACAATAATGTCACCTAATGTTATTGAGTTAAAATATAAATATTGTGGCTTTCCAAGTTAACATTGATTGATATGACTGTGATTAAATCAGCATATACTTCTGCCAGGGGATGCCATCCCTCAAAATCTCCTGCCACCCTATGAATATTTTTCTAGATCCGCCCCTGGGTGGGGCTAAAGTGGGGCTAAGCCATTTCTTGGTATGGCTGTAGCCTACCCCAGGAATACCCTGGCACTGGCTATAGATAGAAAAAATTACAAGTACGAATCGGGTGACCGTCAGGGGAGTCTCAAAAAACCCACACACGAATGCACAGCGATCCATGCACAGAAAGCGGGTTGTGTTTGCAGGTGCAGCGGTTTTAAATGGAAAACAAATATGTTTGGATCAAAAAGACATATGTAAAACTTTTTTCTGTATTTGGATTTTATTGACATGTATATAAAACGGAACACATTTGTGTGTGCATTGAAAAACACAAGTGTGGATCATGAAATACAAGTGTGAATCCTTCTGTGTGCATGTGTGTATTATGAGACTGTTCTGAGCCCATACATCTACAGTGGTTTAATGTAACTAAGTACATTTACTGAAGTACTGCACTTAAAGTATTTCTTGAGTATTTCTACATTATGCTACTTAAAACTTTTACTTCACTACATTTTGTAGGCGAATGTTGTATTTTCTACTCACAATATGTATTTGACTTATTTATCACTAGTTACTTTGCAGATTTCGGTTATTAACACAACATATACATCGACACACATTATTATAGGTTAAACTACCAAGTAGTGGTTCAAGTAATACAAATGAACCCCACCTTACCTTAGTTCAACATTGAAGGGATGAAGACATTAATGCACCAATAATTGTAATACAATTGATAAAATAATTAAATATCTGGTGCTTAAAATGGCCATTATGCATAAGTGCACTTTTACTTTTGGTAGGCTACTTTTTTATTCAAATGCTTTTTGACGAACTACTTGAGTAACATTTTGAATGCAGGACTTTTACTTGTATTTTTACACTGTATTACTACTTTTACTTAAGTAAATAATGACTATACTACTATTAATGACTACTTCTTCTACCAATGGATCTATCTAAATCGACTATTTTGTTGGTGTTGTTGGACCTCTCGAACATTTGCATTGCAGTTCAAATGCTTCTTTTATCCACTAAGGCTAGTCCAAATCAAAGCTGCTGTGCCAGTTGTTAATCCGACACATCTACCCACGCCTATTAATGTCTACAAGTTATATAATGAAGATTTAACAGCCGTATAAATCGCTCTGTCTTTTAGTAGTGACTCTAAAACCTCCCTGTGGTTCTTCCATCTTGAGACATCACAAGGGTTAGCTGCTGACTATCACATGAACGGCTAACAACAAATACACCAGGATAATAACATGTGACATATACGTGTGAAATCCAACATATAATGTCATTCGTATATTTATACAATCATGTAAGCTAATGTTAAACCAGCTAACGTTATATACGGTTAAAGAGCCATGTATGCTCCTTTACTTACGTCGAATGGTAACCATTAGCTGGATATTGGACCGTTGGACAGCCGGAGGACCGGGAGGGGAGGGGGGTGATGTTAACGGTTCTGTCAGCAGGAGAGGCGACACCGGCGGCTTGGGTGGCAACTCAGAGTCGGTGGTAGACTGGAGGAGCGTCAGCCTATGGTCCTGGGTACCGACCATGGTACTGACAGCTCCGGTGAATAGGACCCGGGAGGGGGTGGGTTTAAAAGGGTACGTCGGTCTTGCTGTTGCGTCCTCTGGTGGTTAGTAGGCTACTAAACACATAACCCTGGAAGCCTCTCAAAGTAAAGGATATATAACGTATCTCCACACAACAAAATACATTGAGAGGAAATGCATTCATTATTAACTAATTCTCATAAATACAGTACAACCCCTTTATCCTGTTATCATGCATTATGACCTGGTAAACATTTACTCACAGGGTTCGAGTTAGAAACTGAGCTCTATGGGGGTCATTAAAACTAACGCACACACTAAAACACACAAACACACACACACACACACACACACACGGTCCGTGTACTTTTTGTCAGTTTGATTTTTCGTTTTAAACAAAAGCCAAAAAACGGAAATACCAGCCTTTTTCCGTTTTTTCGTTTTTTATTTAAAACGAAAAAACGGGAAACCAAAGCCGTTTTTACGTTGTTGTTGTCTGAATAAAAAGACCGATAACGAGAAAACCTAATTAAAAAAAGGTAAGTGTACGTTTTGTTAGTTTGATTTTTCGTTTGAACCAAAAAATGAGAAAAATGAAAATACCAGCCTTTTTTCGTTTTAAATCAAAAACGAAAAAACGTGAAACCAACGCCGTTTTCCTGTTTATGTTGTCTGAATCAAAAACGGATAACAAGATAAAAACGGTCTGATTTTGGTTTTTGATAACAACTTCATTCAATGTTCCGTTTTGTATTGAAGAATGAAGAAAAGCAGTCCGCTTGACCGGAAGTTAAAGAACATATTTCAAAATAAAAGACACGAGGCTATAATGGCAATGCTGTAAAAGACCCATAAGTCTGACGACCCTTGGCCCCCCTGCTTCCGGCACCCATGCTGACGAGGATACGTTTATTTCTGCATTCACATGCAGATATGCGTTTATAGAGATTAATACAAGTATGCAAGCTCTGTGCATAATTGTATTCCTTGACTTCCGGTTTGTACTGTGTTGGCAAATCCAGTGTCCAGCTTGTCGCTGTGTGACAACGTCATGTTTGTTGCATACCTGCAAGATTTACCTGTGACAAATGCCAGCGATGTGAACAGAACTGTTGCCCTACTTTCACCTGCACCCAGCAGCAAGTGGGAGAACAATATATCATACAGTTCACACAGTAATGGAACAGTTGTTAAGCATTATTTTGTCCAACTAGTCTCTACATTATGAATTTGATGTGTGTCTAAACTGCTAAGAAGCTGACAGCTGAGTTAGAACAGAAAGACATGCAGGCCATAATCACTAGACGCTCAAAAGAGGAATGTGTGTGTAAGGCTTACATGAACTGAATTGAAACACTGTCCATTAGTTGATTAATAAATAAGACATTCAAGTCAAAGTTTTAGGCATTTTCATTTGTAGCAGGCTGTAAATATGGACTATGAATGAACACATGCAATGTGGAAACACACAAACAGGTTTATTCTCAATACTCATAACAGTATCAGACACAATTACTTTACTGAGAGTGAAGATGACATGAACATAGTATAGTACTGAAGACAACATACAGTATATTGCATTTACCTCTTCCTCTAACTCTCTCTCCATTATTGGCCTCCATTGTTGTGCACAACAAAGTGTTCAAGCTCAGGTTTCTAAGTGATATCATTTTTTTTGTGCATTCTGGGTGCAGGGTTAGTAGGGCTAACCCATATCTGTTCAATCAACCCAGTCTCACGGCATTTCGTGTTCACCAACACGATTTTGAATCTATTGATTCGTGTTCACCAACACGATTTGCCCCTTTTGTTCGTGTTGCACAGCACGATTTTAAAAGCAATGTATTATTTTCTACTGCCTGCAGCACGTCATTAGGCTTGTTTGAGACAAGCGAGACCTGCGCAGACCTGCGCAGTTGCGATCAACGTCTTGCTAGTGCGTTGCATGATGGTTAGTCATTTTGTCCGACTTGCTCTGGAGGCCCGCCTACATGAGACGTTGAAATCTCGCGGGACAAAGACGCCCGCAGCCTTGAGAGCGAGGCGCGGCGAGGCGACGCAGTTCCTCTCCACGGGCTGCGGAAGCGAAATGCTTGATGGGAAACGACTCGCTGGTATCTCGAGCTGAGCGCTCATTGGTGGTTTTTACCACGTGCTGCTGATGAAACTCTCCAATTGGCTCGGCAAAAGTTTGTTGTTGTTTTGTGTCTGTTTTACGTCGCCACATCCATTCCCATTTTTCATCATTGTTCCACAATGTTTATCATCATGAAATGAATATCCATATGTTTTATACTATACTTGCACTGCTTACCGTTTTCATACTTTATATATCTTAGCATATTCATACACACTGTTCATACTGCTCACAGGCTGATATCTAGTGTATTCATACCCCTTACTGTTTATTCATCATTCAATTCATTCTATATTTTATTCTGTCTATTGTGTACATTACTTTTCACTTTACTGCTTGTCGCACTCCTGGTTAGAAGCTAAACTGCATTTCGTTGTCTCAGTACACCTGTAATATGTGCAATAACAATAAAGTTGAATCTATTCTTGAGAAGGAACAAATGTATTTACTTAGTAACTTCTGGTCACTTTCCAAACAGTCTCAAGGAGGCAAGAGTAAACCCTCTCCTAAAGAAACCCACTCTCAACCCGTCTGATGTTATAAACTACAGGCCTGTCTCTCTCCTCCCGTTCCTGTCTAAATCACTTGAACGCGCTGTCTTTAAACAACTCTCCTGTTATCTCAATCAGAACAACCTTCTGGATCCGCACCAGTCTGGTTTCAAGGCAGGTCACTCCACAGAAACTGCTCTCATTGCTGTCACGGAGGAACTGCACACTGCCAAAACTGCATCCCTCTCCTCTGTCATCATCCTGTTGGACCTGTCTGCTGCATTCGACACGGTGAATCATCAGATCCTCCTTCGCACTCTCCAAAAACTTGGAGTTTCAGGCTCTGCACTTTCCCTCCTCACCTCATACCTGAAAGACCGTACCTACAGGGTGACTTGGAGAGGGTCTGAGTCCGACCCTTGTCAATTAACTACGGGGGTCCCTCAGGGCTCTGTTCTTGGTCCCCTCCTCTTCTCCTTGTACACAAACTCGCTCGGATCAGTCATTAGCCCGCATGGTTTTTCTTACCACTGCTACGCTGACGACACCCAATTAATTCTGTCCTTTCCCCGCTCAGAGACCCAGGTCGTCGCACGCATCTCTGCTTGTCTAGCTGACATCTCTCAGTGGATGTCTGCTCACCACCTCAAGCTCAACCTTGACAAGACTGAGCTGCTCTTCCTCCCGGGAAAAGATTGTCCAACTCTTGACCTGACAATCAACATCGGCACCTCAGTTGTTTCCCCGACTCAGACTGCAAGGAATCTGGGTGTGACCCTAGATAACAACCTGTCCTTCACTGCAAACATCGCTGCTACAACCCGCTGCTGCAGATACACGCTTTACAACATCAGGAAGATACGTCCCCAGCTGACTCAGAAAGCGACTCAGGTTCTGGTCCAGGCTCTCGTCATCTCACGCCTAGACTACTGCAACTCCCTCCTGGCTGGTCTACCTGCATGTGCCATCCGACCTCTGCAGCTCATCCAGAATGCAGCGGCTCGTCTGGTCTTCAACCTTCCTAAATTCTCCCACACCACTCCGCTCCTCCGCTCCCTTCACTGGCTTCCGGTAACTGCTAGAATCCACTTCAAGACACTGGTACTTGCTTACCGTGCTGCGAATGGATCTGGCCCTTCCTACATCCAGGACATGGTTAAACCGTACACCCCAGCGCGTGCACTACGCTCTGCATCAGCCAAACGACTCGTTGCGCCCTCGCTGCGAGGGGGACCCAAGTTCCCATCGGCGAAAACACGTGGGTTTGCTATCCTGGCTCCAAGATGGTGGAATGAGCTCCCCATTGACATCAGGACGGCAGATAGCTTGCTCATCTTCCGGCGCAAACTGAAAACTCATCTCTTTCGACTCCACTTCGAGCGTTAGAACGATTAACGAAGCACTTTTATACCAATAAAGGTCTGGATTACCTAAAGCCAGTTGAGTAGCACTTGAAATGTTTGGCTCTATGAAACCTGATATACTTATATGATTCTGTTTTCTTCAAGGTTGTGTCTTCCTGGTCGAATGTACTTATTGTAAGTCGCTTTGGACAAAAGCGTCAGCTAAATGCAATGTAATGTAATGTAATGTAATGTACATATCTGACATTAACGATTAAACACATGTGTGCATTCTTTATAAATGCAAACCGAGTCAAGCCGACTCCGGAGGTGACGGTATGCACCTTAAAGTTGTTTGCAATCCGCCAAATAACCGAGAGAAGAAGAAGAAGAAGGCGAAGAAGAAGATGAAGAAGAAGAAGCCGACTCGTAGCTGTCCGACTTCAGGCGAGCTTTTTGAGACCTCCCCCGGCTGCGATCGGCTACTCTCGTCTACTTTCGAGGCGAGCCGCAACGCGTCTCAAACAAGCCTTTTTTCTCCGGTCTGGTCGAGGAAGACCGGAAGCTGTGTGGTTCATAAAAACATGTTCTTACTCAATATCAAGCCACAGTTATTGCTTTTATTTGAAATCGTATAATTTCGGACTTTTGTTGCCGTCTGTGAGGAAAATAAATGGGGCTCAGAGCCTCAGAATACGGAAATCTGTATTTCTAAATATTTTTTTCCTTCTAATTCGATATTCTTTTCAAAATAACACACTGTTATTTACTCACCAATAACACACAATTATCCTTGCTTTTATTTATTGGTTTAATTCCATAATCTCGGGCTTTTTTGTCGTCCGTCAGGAACTGAATTTCAAAATAAATATAACCGGAAACAGACGTAGGCCTTAGGGACATTTCGAGCATCATTGCGATTGTCAACATTTCTGAGTTTAGGATGGCCGAAGACACTACATAATCCCCAGCTATCGTTTAGGACTACAGTCCCCGCAAGGTTACGCAGAGCGTCAAACAGCTGTGTGAAATGGAACGAAACCACGCCAGACTATCCAAAACTGG